GAGTATCTCAATGAACGTACAAGCGATGTGGATTCGGATGAGGAAGAGGTCGAGAGAAGTGATTCAGAATGATCAGCGGCATCGGATGGCTGGTCCTTTTCCTCTGTCTGTTTTTCATTCCTAATAAGCTGAACAGAAGTACCTCGCGCTACAACTCGCAAGACTCGCAGAGTTAATTTAGATATGCAAGTGGTTTCCTTGGCCCGACAAAGAGGTCAGCTTCTACATCTTTTTTTTCAACAAAACTCACCTGAAATAGACTTGTGTTCTTGACGTCCTTCGCCATATTCCTCGTTGCTCGTTCTCGAAAAAAAAACAGAACGCGGCAATCCACTGGGACATGCTTTCACTAGGATTAAAGACCTATCGTGTGATGGACGATATCGACAAGGCTTTGCAGCCACTCTGTGGAGTCCAGAGCATTCGGTACGCGGGAAAGCTGGCGCATGTGTATTCTACAAATGATCTAACAGCAATTATAGCTCAGGTATGCCGATATCTTCCTCTCTCACACGTTAGCCCACTTACATCCATCAAGGAAATGGGGAATCCGTCATTCCGACGGCACCTTCGCTTTCTTCTCGCGGCTCGCCTCGGCTTCATAGGCGAGCAAAACCATGGATCTTATTATTAATAAGTAGCTCTCTGCCTAGAGCTGCATTTCAAAGTCTCAAGCAAAACGGTTTTTGCAAATACTTGTAAACAAATAACATCATACCTCCCAACAATTGCAGTGTCCGCCGCTAGTGTGTCTGAACTTGACTACTGGGCATCTGTTCTGCACTCGACGACCCATTTACAGACGGGAGTGCACGGCAATGCATGAAACGTAAACGTCGAAGCGAATGATGCGCCGAGAAAGGCGTTCGGACAAGTGAAGTTCTCCCGCATGTTGCATTGACTATCAGTTTGCGTGAGGGAAACGGTGTACCGACGACCAATTTCTCTAGAAATCACGCCCATCGTTTCCTTCATTTGTTGCACGTCGTGGTTAAAGAAGATCCTTCTCTGGTAGGGCAACCGCAAGACTTCGAGTTTTGGCAGCATTAGAAGGAGCGCAACGAAGTCGTGGAAACGCTCGGTGTCCTCGCTTACTTCCGGAATGGGGTCTCGTTGGAGATGCGTAATGTCGACCTCAGTAACGGCTTTGAGAGTACCGGTAAACATGATACCTTGCGTGGGTCCATAATGGTACCAGTGGCCTGATAAATGCAAGACCCGAATCTGCCTAAGCTTAGAGCTGTTGAGCGCGGCGAAAATGGCGGCGCCATCCTGATGGCCGATATGGAGGGCCATATATTGGAGGTTTGGAGCGTCAATGGCAGCAACAACTTGGCCACAAATGTGGTTGCCCCGAATCCAGCACTTGCATGAATATGCGAGGTAAAGCAGTTGGGGAAGGACAACAGTGGAAAGTTGCGTTTTTGCATCTTGCACACAGTCCGCGCCAGTGAGGTGCAAGGAAGACAATTGCGGGCATTCGGAGAGAACATCCAGAAGATTGTTGCCGAGGTTGCATTTTTCTGGGCCGGGATGTTCGACCAAGCCACTCAGGGCAAGGGTAGTGAGATGATGGTACGATACTCCGGCAACATAGTGATGGGGTACGTCTTCGAGAACGAGCTCCCGCAGTGCCGATGTCACTCCATGAAGAGGAAGAATATCGAGGTGGTCCTCGCTATCCTCAACGGACGCGAGTGCAAGGACTTCGAGGCTGGTAAATTTGATCTCTGTTCCGATCGCTTGGACGAAGGATTCCCAAATTACGCTACTGTCGATTGTAACAGCGAGCTTTTCGACAGACGACGCGTTTGCCGCAAGAAGGCTGCTGATACTGGACATGAACTTGGGGTGCCCCTCCATCAATTTAAAGTGAGACGGTGGTCGCTGTTCTGTTGGAGTGGAGTAATATTGACGCAGTGTGAGGACGATGGTTTTGGGCGAGCCCCTCGCATGAGCGAAAAGGTGATGGAGGTAAGTTGGACCAAACGCGGAGCATATGTGGAGACGAGCCCAAAGAGTAGGACTGTTGTCCAATTCGTTCTTCCACGCTCGACTGACACGCCGTAGATTGCCTCGTTCTTGCGCATCTTCTCTCCATCCGATCGGTTGCAGGACAAACATGAAGATATGCAAAAAGACTTCGTAGCTGAGCAAGCTAAAGTTTGAATCTCGCGAGGTGGTCGAGAGAGCGGTCGCAGGGCCTGGCGATGTATGAGGCATTGGGCCAATGGGTAGTTTCGGCGGGAAAAACCTCTTTTAGTCATTTAAAAGGCGTGTCGCCATGCTCAAAGGTTGCCTGTTCTGGCAGGCGCTGTATCAACTTGAAGCGTGAAGGAGCAAGACCACCATATGCGGAGGTGAGCATGTAAAACAGCCTAACAGGCAACCGATAACGTAACATCCCAAATGGGGCGAGACATGTACGCTCAGTGACAGCAGCGACAACATCGTGTCTTGGACATTGGGCTACGAACTACAGATGGGGGGTGTCATATCGAACCATCGTCTCCGCCCCGACCTCTTCAACGTGGCGAAGCAGGAATCTTGGCTCCCTTGAGTGAGACTAAGCTATCAACAGTATACTGTTCTGCAAGCCAAACCAAGAGCATCTCAAATCGAGGGGCGTCGATAAGCAAAATCACAGAGCATGCGACCAAGCGATGCGTCTAGTTTTCCCGCGAGCTTGTGTCGTTGATTCATAGGACTAGGAATTCAGTGTCGAAAGTATCATCGTTAACTGAGGACTTAACTCTGATACATCCATCACCATATGGTAAATATCTCGAACAAGACTTGCCGGTAACCAATACACCTGCTTCACCTTCAGAGGAGGAAGTGCATGGGAAGGATAAAACCGGGGGGGTTCACGTCAATGTGGAGGCGAGCGTTTTGACATGGCGACGCCACTGAGACACTGGCTCAATACTTAGAGTGATCTTGTCGAGGATGGGTTCCAGCCTGATACTTGGGTCGACGACCAATTTGCACTTGCAGGGGTCTGACAGCTCGTATCGTTTGGAAAGGTGATTCAGGAGACAGAACTGTCGTTAATGGGTGTACGAAATGTGTGTTGGAGCGGGTAGGAAACATTCCACTAAGGTTAGTGGTCTGACGGGCCGGGCTGCCCGAGCCCGAGGCCCTTGACAGGCCCGGCATGGCTACAACAGTTGGGCCTTGGGATTTCCCAGGCCCGGCCCGGCAGACCACTAACTAAGATTGCTAACGCAACAGTCAGATTTTGCAGTTCCTAGAAAGCATCGTGAACTTACTGACTTGCAGAGTAAATGCGTTGGAACACAGAACACCGGCGGTATGGCATCAACACCAGTATTTGAAGGAGATGGTTATGTGAGACAGAGGACAGCTGGAACAGTAGTAAAATTGAGCGGCGACCGAAAGGAACAAGACCTTGTTGTGCAGCGAGGCGAGTTGGTCGAGCCGCCCAAAGACGTATATATGACCCACACTGGCCGGAGTCTGGACTCTGGACTCTGGGGAGCCAGATAACTTCAGTCAGACCGTTTTCCGCCACTATAATATAAGCGATGAGCAAGGGGATAAAACAGGATCAAGCGTAGTTTTACTTCGAGTGTTCTGACGCTGCCTACTGGTAGTGGAAGAGGGGTGAACCACCACAGTCGTTCTTCCAATTGGGGAATACCGAGAGTAGCGGCCTATATTTCGAGTGAAAGGGAAGTTGCACGAGATTTAGAATAATCCAGATTCAGAAACGGTCGAGATGTACGCACAGGCAAACGAAAAACGTTATGCTAGAAAGTGGGGTGGACGGACCGCAGATCACTGCCAGCCGGATGACCCACGGGCCACAGCCGCTCTTCCAAGAGTCCCGAAGCCCAGTCAAGCTATGTCTGATGACGTTACAACGTGGTCAATTCGAATCGAGTTGAGCCAGGCAACGGGGAGAGTGTGTGTGCGCGTTCAATCGAGTTGACTAGTGCATCAAACACTTGGCTATTTCCTGTGTTGATCGACGACCAACAGCTCTTGCATCGCTGGCTGCTGCAGGAATGCCAGAATTGGCATCAAGAAAGTCGGGTATCCGTTCCGGTTGGGGAGCAGTAAGCTCCTGGAGTGGGCGAAGGGAAGCGAGCAGCGAGGCGTGGGTTGCGAAACACGCGGTGACAAGTGTCGGAAAGCTGTGTTTTGACCAGTGATGGCCAGAGGTCACGGTCCGATTTCGGCGCCGCGGCAGATCGCTCAGGCCTTTTCCATGGCGAGCGCATGCGGGCGCGGCCCTTCGGTTGCGGGCTTTTCCTTGTTTGTTCCAAGCTACTCGGCTCACCAGAGTCACCACCTATTAGGCATCCCCACCAATGAAGTTTTGTCTCGAAATAGAACGTCATCACGGTACTACTATTATCGCGCTGTGACGGAGTGACGGGCCATGGCCAAAAGTATATTGGGGCTCATTTGTACCTACATGAGCGGTGAATCCCACCTGGATTGCATTCTACCAAAGGGTAGGGGCTTCAGACTAAGACTACGACGACGAGAACACGGAAACGGAATCGATACGGCCCGAATACGATCGTTGACAGACGCCGTCTGTCAATCGAAGGCCGATAACGCCGTCGGACCGAAACTGTATTGCGACAAATATATTCGAGGGCCTATTCGTTCCCACGATGCCGCTGCGCGGACACCATCTACATCGTTAAAATCAAACTAAATACAACACTATCGACTCTGTTGGACTCAGGCTGAAACTACTGTATACTTCACTATTGATAGGAGCCCCCCGAACACGCACGCGAATACGATAGTCTTGCCAATACCTAAGTGCTGCATTGGGATAATTGGTTGGGGTTTCAAGTTGTTTGTGGTTGTTGTGTGTGTGAGTGAGTGCTATATATCTCTTTCCCACCACCTATCCCCTGTTTTGGTCTTTCCAAGTTTCCCACTCACACCCCGGTTTCACGTGTTTCACTTGTATAACCGTGACCTACTACCCATCTATTCTGACTCCGTTATTTGCACTACAGAAACTCTCTGATGATCGCTAGAGCTTCCTGCCATATCAATTTCCGAGCGTCCATATTAATCACACTGCGCGCGTCCATTTGAGCAGCTTCTAGTTGTTCGTCCAGCGTCAGCACTTGCACTGGAAGTAAGGGACACTCTGGGGACTCGCAGATCACAGTGTTCATGTTTTCTGGGATTTCTAAACGCTCCTGCTCGTTGTTAGCGAAGAAGTTCGACATCACTTCCTCATTCCGTAGAGCCCCGTGGTCCACCCCGTAGTCAGCCAAATCAGCCAGTGGAAGACCGTAAACTCCCTCCTCTATTTGATTGAAGAAGAAGATATCTGCTGGTGACCGATTAGGTTCACCGCGAATTTGCAGTATGTGAAAGTTCCAGGTGTTCACCCAATCTTGAGCTTCTTCATTGAGTGCGCGTAGGGAAAAGATGATGGAGCAGCCAAATATGGACGTCATCATCGACGTCTAGCTCGTAGTATTGCTCTAGGGCCATAAAAAAGTCATACCATTTGAGCCCCAATCCCTGTGTCCAGTCCAGCCAGAGGCGTTCTATTCGAGTATTATGGATGCTCCTATATGGACGTTAATCAAGAGAGGATATGGAGGCAGTTGTTCCAGCACCGGCCGAAAATATATGACCCCCTGCCTGGGCCACGGATTTCTTCCATTGCTTCAGCTACCTTGACATTCTCTACGCCATGATCCCCTCGAACGCGACTCGGCACACCAAATTGAGTAGCTGCAGCCAGGAATAAAGAAAGCACAGTATGTGCCCGGTTATTGTTGTGAACGCCCAAGCCAGTCACGAACCGAGATTTGCCGTCGATGAACGCATGAGTAACCAGTTTCCATCGTATTAGACCTGAAATCGCGTCAAGTGGGGATGGATTCAACTTGGTTCGGATATACCATGCTGGCCATCATGGTGCCATAAAGAATTGACCGCCGGTACCCAGTATTTCTTTCGGGCAATTCGACGTTGACCAAATGATAGCGGGGCCCCTCGTACTCTGAGGAGCGATGAACGTAACCTGGTACGGGATACCCGAACACCCTGGCTCGCAAGTTGACCCATCGTCATACTTCTTCCAGCACGGGGGGAAAAGCTGGAGAATAGCAAACGTCAATGAATCCAAGTCTTCATCCGATATCTCAGTCTGATGGGTTGATCGCCCGCATTGATTGTTCCGTTCAAGTTCTTCCCACCCGTCGGGACGAGACCGGACTTGAAATACGGCAGGGCCCGCAGGAGCCAATTGTAGTTCCAAAATCCTACGGCGTATCGTTCGAGCGGAGCACCCCAAAGCCTTGGCTATTTGCGAAGGTCCTCTCAACCGAACTGCCTGCGCAAGGAAATCTTCATCGATAACAATTGGTCGTCGACCCCCTCGAACCGTAGAAGCGCCTAGCTGCACTACTTTGAGGGCGGGCCGATGAGTTTCAGGTTCGGTCTGCCCAGCTTTCTCCAGATCATCCAGCATAAGGTGAACGTTTTGGCAGAGACGCAAAAAACTCATCATTTGAAAACACCTGTTGGTGCTTTAAAAGTCAATGACGACCACCGAAACTTGGATGCTGACTTACTTGGTGAGCAGAATGCAGAAATTCAAGACATTCCCTTCGCTTATTCTGCAATTGGCTGTGGTCTCTACGCTGTATCCGAAGGACATCGAGAACCATTTCTTCAAGCGCCTCGTACGCAGCGCGAAGATTATGGCGTCGATATTCGTCCATGGAGGGCAAAATGTACCAGTGCGGTCGCCAGAAGCCTGGGGAACTTCGAACAGCAACGATCAGCAACGATTCAAGTTCTGAAAGATAAATCAAAGGAAGCAAGAGGGGTCACGGTTGTAACGCGGTAATATTGCCCTCCCTTCTTACACATGATACTTAAGGCCCCAAGCGGTAGAAAGCCGTAATTAGATTCCCAGTTGAGTGTGTTGTTTCAAGTTAAGATGATGATTTTGCCGGCTACTCCCGACTCTTTTGGAGCCGTTTGGTTTGGCAATGCTTCCCTATTTCGTGTCCGCGTTACGCGCTACATTGACCAAAAACTTGATTGTGGCGGAGGCGGGTTTCATCATCTGTTTGCCTCGATACATGCCCGAGGCACCGATGGATTAAGGTGGCTGACGCTCGAAAAAAGGGGAGGTCAAGATTATTTGACGTTGGAAGCGGTCCATATGGATACCAGTGACGTTTGTGAATGAAGCTGTGGCGGCGGACACTCGAATTCTAATGCTTTCTATGGTAACGTTGTTGGTATTTTCGCAATTAGTGAGCCGCAGTTATTTGTTGAGATACACGGTATGTTGGCTAACAATTTCGTGACGGATGGTTCAGCAGGAAAACTGTTTCCTCACGGAAGCAGCGTTTACCCAGACTGGGCAGAATGACTGCCAGCGGCTGGATGAACCACAGCCGCTTCTCCGAAACAAGGATATCGAGAGAGACGCAGTGTTGACCGGATTTGAGTTTTCTGACGAACTAGTCGGACGATTTTCAGGGAACGGTCGTTCTAAAATGGGTGAGCCACAGTAGCGGCAAGGATGGAGAGAGATGCAGGGGGCCGTATTCGAGCTTTCTGACAAACTAAGAGGGCATTGTTAAGGAAAAGTCGTTACCAAACAGCGTGAGGATACTCACCCGCCAAGAAAACCATCACCATCCACCGGACTGGAAGAAGGATGGGGTGCACCACTACCATTGGCCGGATGAACCACAGCCATCCTTCCAGGCCAAAGACAAGGACATCCCGTGGTTGCCTAAGGTGTTGGAGCCGAGTGATTTAGTTAACGTTTGAGATTCAGGATTTGTTCGCTGATAGCGAAGGATGGTCTAGCGGAAAGACTTTTTCCTTCTGTCAGCAACGTTGACCTGGTGCTGCAGCGAGCGTACGAACCACTGCCAGGGGCCGGATGATCCAAGGACATCGCGAGAGAGCACGGCGTTGGTTTTGAAAGAGGTCCAGTTCTGCAACCACAACGAACCACAGGGGAGCCCAATTATGACCACCGGATTCGAGTTTTCTGACATGTTAAAAGGAATTAAAGTGTCTTTACAAAAAAGTGTGAAGATACTCACTTCAAACCATCGCCATTCACCGGACTGGAAGAAGGGTAGGGTGAACCACTACCATTGGCCGGATGAGCCACGGCCATTCTTCAAGTTCCAGTACAAAGCCAAGGACATCGAGTCGCTCACTCGAGCTATCTATGATGCCAGAAACAAAACACCTGAAAGAAGAAGAAGAAGCGGTCACGTGTGACGTGTGACGCGGCGGTCCCACTTGATTTGAGGTCTTGTGCGCACCTGGCCGTACCACGCCGTAGCCGTTTTGTCTGCTTCAAACAATTTCCTTGGATTTGGTTACCCTTATCGATATCTGAAAATTCGGCGTATCGGCCGAGCAGGTCTGATAATTCGGAACAAACAAACAAAAAAACCTCCGGCCGACAGGCCGCGCCCAGGGCGGGCGACACGTATCACCGAGCTACCGAGCTCATGAGCTATGCATGCACCGTCTGCCAAAGGCAATGGGATGCCGTCTCAGTCGTCCGTCATGGACGCGTTGATGTACCATGCTGGAAAAGGTGCCCCGGAAGCGGCAATCAGCCACGTAATTACCGGCCAACGGGCGCCGCAATCAACTCCCCTCTGGATTCGCGCACCAGCGGAATCTTCTGGAATGGCTCACAATATAATTGATCAAATTGGGCCCTGTTTATTTGCACTCCTGCAGTGAGGTTTTCAAAGCACTTCTCTCCCCTGGCCAAGGAGATAGAGTGATCCGATACTGATATTCACATCAGTGCGCAGAGAATTCAATGTATACGGCACCTTTGCGACTTCTATGTTACAAAGTAAGAGCACTAGGAAATTGCTATATGGCTTCGTCCCATTCTCCCATTCTCATTTATTGTGCGGCCTTCCACTCATCTGCAGTCTTGTACTGCTCAAAGAGTTGCAACAAGGCCTCGACCAATTGAGCTAATCGCGGTCTCTTCATGAAGTCTCCACAATATGTACTGCGGGTGCTGGGTTTGTGAAAGAGACGATCGACTTTATTGTAGAGCGTCGAGGGATCTGTCCCGAAGTGATAGAAATCTGCAACCTTAGTGATGTCGTTGTGGAAGAACAACGGAAGAAAATCGTCGTATACGTGTGTCTCGTCGATTTTAAAGAGAAACGCCTCCAGATCCGAGCAGTCATCGCCCTCTGCTGAAGTGGTTGCGTGTTGGGGGCTTGGAGGCAATGCCTGCCAGTGATAATCGGAACGTGGCATGAAACCTTCACTCCCGCGTGCACAATCCGTCCGCGGCACTTCACTACTAATACGAGAGACGCTCCCCATAGTTCCTACCGCGGTATTGCTGATTTGTGCAATGGGGGCCGCAGAAGGTGTATATCTGGCGGGGGTGACTCGGATGTGGGCGGAGTGGAGTGGCATAGCTATTTTGGTGATTTGACGCGCGGAGTATCTCTTGCCACCCATCGCAGTGAGTTTCGGCGCATCTAGTCTTCTGGCGCTGGAGCGGACGGGTTTGCGTTCAGCGGCTGGTGGAGGACTCGGAGCGCCCTTGACTGCTTTTTTTGTAGACTGTCATCGCAAGTAAGTATGATATCTGATGTTTGTTTATTTGTGGGCATTCACACGTTTCGTCGTCACAGCTGGACGGCGGTCCAACATAGCGGCTTGGATCAACTTCTTTAATTTGTCTTGGTCAGCGAAGTCGACATCTTTTGTAACATCGTCCTTGACGACTTTGCTGCCGGTGTTGCGTACTATTTGGGAGATCGTGGCGGAACTGCTTTTGAGATGTCGTGCAACGGCACTCTGTGAGGCACCTGCACGGACGGCAAGGCGAATTTCTGCCCGGTTCGATCTAACTTGTTTGGCGATTGCCAGTGTAACCTGTTCCTCCCCACTAGCAATCACGCTAAAGGAGCAATTCAGCTGTTTGTATGGTTCTTGGGGGTTACTGACGCTGCAACACCCTGCTTTTTTTTTTTTTTTTTTTCGAGCCCTTCCATGTTGTCATCAGTTGATACGTTAGTGATACCCCAGTCGACGTCAGCTGTAAGGCGTTGCTCAGAAAGATCCGGAGATGTGTATTGTGTATCGCTGTGCGTGCTGTTTATCAGTTCGTCGCAATTTTCGGACTCGGAGTCAGGCGGCGATTGACGTTCATGAGCGTTTTGGCCGCCCGGCAACGGACTCGGATATGGAGTCATCAGGCAAAATCTCTTCAAGTTGTTCGACGTGCCCAAAATTTGCTGTAAGACTCGCCATGGTGGCAAAGAGCAAGAATGTCACACATCGTACTGCGTGTTTCCGCAGTTCATGTTGGCTACACGCACAGAACGCCCCTAAACAACCGACTCCAAACCTATTGTTTCTCTTGCCAACTTACGCTACCCATCCGATTGCCGCTTTCAAGACATTTCCGTACCAACACTTGTTCTCAATGGCATCAGCCAACTCTGAGAAAGAATGGACATAAGGCTTACGGAGATAGTGGGCAAAGACGACGGCAGCAACAACTAATACAAAGTCAAGACGTAAGCTAGACGCCGCAGGTTATTGGGAGTATATCGATGGCGACGAGTGCTCATCCCCTAATATTCCTGCACCCTTCCCAAGTCAAACGCATACTGGGCTGGATCCGAATGGTGTACAAGTGGCTGTCACCATGAAAGGCAACGAAGACAGTTAACCTTGCGAAGAAGAACGCCGAAGACTGGCTTGCACAAGACAAGAAGGCTTTGACCGTCATCGCTGCACCAGTACCCATGGGGAAGCTTTACACTGAAGGGACAAATATCGTCTGTGGCGGGACGCACCCCGTGGCCTGGAGAGCAAATACGATCATGGCGTTTTCGAATCGTTTTGCATCAGACGAGGCCTGTCCCGCCCGTCTTCTCCCGGACTCAGCTTTCTCGGTCTCGTCGTCGTCGCTTGGCCTCGGTCGAGAGCTCATGTACAATTTCCTTGACCTTCATCATCAATTCAACGGTCGTCATATTGAACCCGCTGATGCCAATAACATCTGGTTGGCGCTGTGGAGAAGGTCGATCGAATTCGTCGCGGAACTTGCCGAAGGTGAGATTGTCCAGTTGGGTCTGTTGTTCTTGCATGCAGCCGCGTGGATCGAGATAGACAACGGTAATGACGTTCCTATGCGGGTCGCCTTTGGCCCAAGAGATGGCCAAAACTGAGGGTCGATCTTCTTTCATGCCGGTAACAATTACTGGGGTGATATCCACTCGCTATGGTTGAAAGTTAGTCAGCACATGCGTCGAGGAAGGGGGACAAGACGAGCCCTTTCGTAGTTCATCCTGAGCAAGAGCATCTTCAACCTCATCGCGCAGATGTTCTCTGGTCCATTTTGCGCCAACGGGTATCAAATGCTGCTCCAGAACTTCCCGAACGACCAAACTCCCCTCTTCGTTCCATGCTCGCGCCGATTCACTGAAGTTG